TGTGACCTTGGAGGCTGCAGACCTGCGACTTTTTCACATCGACCGTCCCTGGAAGTACTGTGGTTGCCGCACGGCGAGCGATGGTACTTGTAAAGAGGGGGCAGCAGCTTCACATTTTGGGACGTGTGTGTTTTAGGCTTCTCGTTGCTGTGTCTTAACCTGTCCTCCTTGTTGTCGATACCGGTCTGTGCAATAAGTGTTGTATTCGCGTCCTTATCACTGCTTCTCCTTGAGATGTTGAACTTTTCAAGATGGGGGTTCATGACAAGCAAAAGTTCGCTTCAACGCGCCTGGTTTGGTCGGAGCTTTCACAAGGCTACCCTTTTTTGCCTCGGCCCCCAGATGACCTGGATTGTCCAGAGCCCGCTTTCATTTCTTGGCAAACATACGGAGCAAGGCTTGCCAAGTCCCCCGATCTTTTCAGCGGATGCTGAAGCCCATGTCCCAACCGCTGTAAAGTGCACTGAGCATCTGCAAATCCTTACATTCACAACCTTGCAAGTCCGCAGAGCTTATGCGGTCTTCATTCTTGTGTGGTGTGCTTAGTTGTTACGAACTGGCAGCGTCTTCAACACAGAGACTTGTATCAGCCTCCATATGCATGTACACACGCGTGCATGTGAGTGTGAGAGTCTGCGTATGTGTGTGTGTGTGTTGACTGCTTGGGTGTTTGGGCCTTTGATTTTCTAAGTGTTGGCTTAGCTGATTGATGTGCTGTCTCAGGGTCACAGTTTTGGATCTCATCGAACAGTGAGCTAAGTCTCTTGCTTGCTGCTCTGCTTCATCCACCGGGACTATGGCTCCACATGGACGTAGCTTGTGGTCGGAAAAAAGCCAGAGCGGGGCTGAAGAGAGTCTGCGCAGCGAAATCTTTCTTGATGTGAAACAGGAGTTGTGGGTGCGGGTTTCCGAGAGTTGTCATCCCTGTCTCAGTGCTCAACCCTACTTGCAAACTGTTTCATGAGGCATCCAAGAGTCTCCGCATGTCTCAGACAGAGATGGCGAAAAAAACTAGGCGACTTGGAGTGGCTCTTGATATATGGGTGTAAGTAATTACCAATACTATTTTGGGGTTCCTTATTATACATATAGTATAATGGGCTCCGAAACCCTATTCGAATTATTTATCTATCCCCACGCCACAAGCAGTGACCTAAACCTCAAAGCAAGTCCGTCCAAGCATTCAGCAGGACTGACACGGGGAGCCTCCGAGGGGAACAGAGCTTCGGGTTCGGTGCCATCTTGACATGTCAGAGGGTTTAGGGTTTAGGGTTCAGGGTTTAGGGTTTAGCAGCTATTTGGGCTTTTCGTTCAGCGTGTAGCTGCAAGGATCTACAGTACACCTCCGGGGGGTAAAGAGCCAAAAACCCCGCACACCGGACCCTTTTCTCGTATTCCCCCTGACTTAACTCGAGAACCGAACCTGCGGACAATGTGAAAAGACACAGGCCTTTGTCAGGGGCTGTTGATATAGGGGCCTAAGTACTTACCAATACTATTTTGGGCATTCATTATTATACTTACAGTATAATTGGGCCCAAGCCCCTATTCTAATTATTAAGACCCCTATACTAACCCTGAAACCCCAAACCTACTGTACTTATAGTATAATGGCCCCCAAAAACCCATTCTAATTATGAAGGCTCCTATATCCTAAACCCTGAAAGTAGCCCTTGTAGAACCCCTGAAAGATCCCTGAAAAGGAACGCTATTCTAATTATTTGAAGGCCCCTATATTAAGGCGTCAGGTCCGGAGATTGAAACCCCAAGCCTCGAGCCCCGATTCAGCCGGAGATCGTAGGGCTCCTTTATAGTATATTTGTCACAAGGAACCCTAACAAGAATATTGGTAATTATTTAGGCTTCTATATTAGGGCATTGACGGGTTTACAGGGGGGTAAAACCGATTTTGGAGAGTCTTGGACTGGGATGTTTGGCCAGGTGTTCAGCGAGGCTAGTTCGATGTTTTCCTGTTGACAAGCCTACTTAGAGCCTACTTTTTACGAAGACTCCACAAATTCCTTATGAATCCCTTCCAAAAAAAAACACATGTTCAAGTGGAAGGTTGAATTCGCTCAGGATCAGAAAGCCAAACCGCCACGGTTGCCATCCACTCATCGCCACTCTCTCCCACTGCGACCTTCGCTTTTCCTTAGCTACTTGTTGCTCCTTTTCTTACCTTTGGTTAGTAGGGAATGGAAGAATGGTAGTAATAGTAGTTATAATTGTACCCATTCCTCCATTCCCTACTAACCAAAGGTAAGTTTTCTGACCGTTCTTGCTGCTACTTGCACAGGCCCTGGATCCTCCGAGCATCTGTCCTGGGAGGTTTAGGGTTCTTTTTGGAGTCAGGCTTGTGGTATATGCACCACACAGTGTACGTAGACATAGTCTAGTCGAGTCTAGTCAAGTTGAATAGATTATGGTATAGTATGGTATAGTCGTGTTACTTCCGGCGTGGAACCCGTTCGAATCTCGGCAGGTGAGTTTCCGAGCAGGAGCTGAAGCCTGAAAAATCATTGCTACACCTTTCCGGCTTCCTTACTATCGTCAGAATCTGATCTACCGATATACCCTAAACCCTAAACCCTACGCCAACGCCTTCTTCTGTGCATTCGGCTCGCAGCAGAACTCCGCCAAAACTCAGGGTACTTATCCTTTCTACCTGACAATACCAAGAACACCACTCTTTGGGTAGTACCCGTGGTATCCATACTAGGAGTTGCGAAGCAGCCGGCATGCTGCGCATCACTCAGCTGTCAGGGGAAGAGCTGGCCAGAGCCTGGGCCTTTTGTTAAGGAAGCAGAGTTTAAGAGCCAGGGTTTAGGGTTTAGGATTTTTGGGTTTAGGGTTTAGGGGTTTGGGGGTTTTGGGTTTTGGGGGTTTGGGGGTTTAGGGTTTGGGGTTTAGGGGTTTAGGGTTTGGGGGTTTAGGGTTTTTAAGTTGCCATAGTGGGTGATAGATAGTAGATAAGTAGGGTTTCCCTTACTATAGTAGCTTACTTTATTGAAGTCCATATAATGGGGGGGTACATAGGAAATAGCTGGGTTTCCTTAATATACTAACTTCGTTGAGGTTCCTCCCTAAACCCTAAACCCTAAACTTCATTTAGGTTCCTCAACCGCCACCCCAGGAATTCCAGTTGGGGAGCTAGAGGATGTCAGGTCCTTGAAGCTGCGAATCCTGGCAGGAAGTTTTGGGTTTAGGGTTTAGGCGTTTAGGGTTTAGGGTTTCAATATGGGGGTTTAGGGTTTAGGGTTTAGGGAATACTTGGAGGATCATGGGACTTAGTAAGTAAGGTTATAAGCCCCTTGATTGGGGTTGTAAGTAAATATAAGTGCAGTTACCTTAATTATAACCCTACTTACTAACTCCCATGATCCTTTAAGTACACTTGGAGGTTCGTTGGTAGTTATAAGTACGGTTATAAGTCCCTTAATCTAGGTTATAAGTATAGTTGCCCTACTTACAACCCCACTTATAACTACCCATGAACCACTAAGTAAAAGGTTTGTGGGTTAGGGATGTTTAGGGTCTACTATTTTATGTTTTAGGGTCTAGGGTTTAGGGAGAGTGCCTATGCAGTCGCCCAGATATCCCTGCTTTGGGGGTGCCAGGAACAGCGAATTTTCAGGTGGCCTAGACCGCAACTTAGGAGTTTCCGAAAATAGGGGACCCTAATATAGTACCCGAAATAGTAGGCCCCTTATTATAAGGACCCCAAAATAAGGTACCCTAATTTTTGGAAACTCCCACTTAGGATTGCATCAGCGGCACGGCTTGCCGACACGCTTTAGGCAAAAGCTGGTGCACGAGGGGCGAACTTTGGACGATGACGAGAAGCTGGACACTGAGATGGATCTCACGGTTCCCGGATGTTTAACTTAAACCATCTTAAGCCCTAAACCTCTAGACCAACAACAAGCTCAAAAGCATCTGTAGGTAAGCTGCTAAGACCAAGACTCCGAAATGTGTGAATCAAGGAACATCCCGTGAAGCATTTGAGTGTGTTAGTCTTCGTACATATTGGGAGCAGTTAGAGTTGCTTCGCCACTACGACCCAAAATGCCCGTTCACCCAAAGTTGCAGTGGTAAACTTATCCACCCTCCCCCTGACCCTGAAGCCTTGCTCAAACCTATGAATCAATAAGACTAATAATAAGAATGAGAATAAACCTAGTACTAAGAAGAATAGTACTTAGTCCTTGTTGAATTTCGATCTCTGGGTCACTATTGAAAGCAAAACATCCAAGCCTTCATGGAGTTTCCCTGGAGGTTCTTGTGCTTGCCTTCGTCGAACCTCCCGTCCGTCCACCGCGACTAGGCCTCAACGGCGATCCCATGGACAACCTTTATCCGCCGCTGGGTCCTTGAAGTGAAGAGCCGTTTACGGCGAAGAGCCCTTTTCGTAAGCTTCCCCGAAGCCCTAAACCCCAAACCCTAAACCCTAAACCCCCTAAACCCGGGAGCATGAAGCTTCCATTCGAAACTGGTGCTTGTAAGACGGTTTGGGCAGGGAAGTTTCAAAGCCCTTCCTATCCGAGACTGTGCTTTTCGAGTTCGCTGCTAGTTAAGAGGGTTTCTAAAGGGGAACTTGGGGTTAAGAGTGTGCTTTCAGGGCTTCTATCTGGGACCGAGTCCTTCAAGAGAGTTTAAGTGGTGACGGTTTTGTGTAAGGCTTCCATCCGGAAGCGTTTCAACTTGGAAAGGCGGCTTCAACAAGTTCCCGTGCAGCTTCAATCCGACAGTAGGTCCAGCTTGACAGGGCTTTAACAGGAACAGGATTTGAAATTTGGGTTTTGGATTCTTTGGTGTTTGTGATGGGGCCTAGTAGAGTCTGCCGGGCCTGTCAACAGGATAAAGTGGTTTGCTGGTGGGTTTTTGTTGAGGGATTGACCGGTAGGTCATTTCAAAGGTCCCGGCAGGTGTCAGCTATACCCGAAACCCTAAACCCTAAACCCTATAGGTTTTGTCCCGCAGTGACAGAAGAAAGAACCCAGGAAGGAGATCCTCACCGACGCCTCTGTCAACGGCGATGTTAACGAGGTTTGGGAAATTTTCCATTACATTCTAGTATGGCCTGTTATTCTTTAAATTATAGTACATTATCGTAAATTTATGTTCGAGTATCGTAGATGATAGTATATACCACAGGACAGAAACTCTCTCCATCTCTGTTGCCATTGTTACCATCATCATTGCTTCTACCGTGTTCATGAGGTTTGGGGTTTAGTAGCACGGTTACTCTGCTTCTTATTGCTTTTTTTTCGTGTTCTCTCTCTCTCTCAGAGAAGCTTCCCGAAGCGTCGGAAGTCTTGAGGTCGAGGAGCTACTTTCACTCCCCTTAGACCCCGATGTGGCCGGCGTCATCGGCCCGCCCTTGATGCGGGCATCGGAATACGGCCGCAGTAGGACCGTGGCGAAACTTCTGGAGGCGGATCCTCAGGCGGGAACCCCAAAATCCGACACATGAGACTCGACATTTGGATACCAATCTCAGAATGTAGAGGCCTAAATAACTAGCCATACGATTTTGGGGGTTCCTTAGGTTCTTGATTATAATTACAGTATAATAGGCCCCCAAACCCCATTCTCATTATTCAGGCCCTATATTAACCCCGAACCAAAATGCCGGAAAAAGCTTCTAAAACCCCGAGTTGGACCTGCGTGGCGGAAGAGAGGGCTGGACAGCCCTCACGCATGCGGCTTGGCGCGAACGCGTGGAGATCATCAAGTTGCTACTGCAGGCTCGGGCTCAGGTGGGGGGCCAGAACTACATTTGGAACATGATGGGACTTAGTAGGTAAGGTTATACGTAGCTTATTTACAACGCTATTTACTAAGTCCCATGGTCTTTTAAATACAGCCGGCTAAGGATAGTACATGACGAAGATGTCAACAGTTTCATTTCAGTGTCAGTTCTAAGGGCCTTCACAGGGGTCTCATGCCGCGTTGAGATGGCTGTAGAGTGTGATAAGGCAGGAGCCTGAATAATTACCAATACTATGTTGGTGGCTCCTTATAAAAACTATAGTGTAGTAAATAATTACCAATACTATGTTGGTGGCTCCTTATGAAAACTATGGTGTAGTACACCCCATTACTGAGTGCTAGCCGGCGGAAAAGAGCATTCCCAGGCAGACTTCACGATGTAGATATACAAGGCACTCCTGGCACTGCTATTGTAGTATGGACTGGTACCGCATCCGGAAAGAACGACCCGAGATAGAATTAATGAGGTAGATGTCTAGGCCCTCCTATTATCGACTGTTGAAGCATTGGGCCTCACCCCCAAACCCTGAACCCTAAGCAGGTAGACTTTCCCCGCGCCGACGGTTCCACGGCCCTGATGCTGGCAGCTACGCGAGGATATGAGGAGGTCGCTAAGGTATTGCTCGAGCATGGTGCTTAGGTGGCACGTAGGTTTGGGGTTTATGGGCTTTTGGGGTTCGGAGGTATAGGGCCTACGGCTTTCAGGGTTTAGGATCCTATGGAGGCTTTTTTGGGCGCCCCCAAACCTCCAAACTAGGTGCTGAAACGGAGCTGCGCGACAGCCAGGGTCGCAGGGCCTTCGAGATAGCCACTGAACCTTGGTCCGGCAGCGGCTTCACTTGTTTGGGGATTACCTTAGAGCATCATGAGACTTAGCAAGTACAGCTATACGTAGAGGGTTTAGGGGTTTAGGGTTTAGGGTTACGTAGTCATAAGTACAGTCTTCTTGTTTATAACCCTAGTTACTAAGTCCCATGACCCTTTCAGTAATCCTGGGCCAAAAGACAGAAACATTGACCTGAGACCCCTGAAACCGAACCCTAAACCTGTAAACCCTAAAACCCTAAGACCCCAAGCCCTACGACCGTAAACCCGAACCCGCACAGGAACATGGCCACGTGGATCTGGAGGTCTTGCTTCTGGAGGCACAAGTGAAGCGCGAGGAAGCGGCTGCAGTTGCGGCGCGCCCTGCATGAGAGGCTATCTTAGAGTATAGGGTTCCAGGGCTTTCGAGTTATAGGATATGGGGTTTGGGGCTTTAGGGTTTTGGGGGTTTAGGGTGTAGAGTGCGATATAAGAGCCGGAGAAGTCGTGATATACCGCAATATACCACTGTGTATTAGTATACTTTACTCTGTGGCCGTATGTTGCACATCAGCAGAAGTCTTCGAGGAGAGCCAATGCAAAAAGGAGCTTACCCCACACAAGACCTTTTGGGGTTTATAGAATCCTACCAGAATTGAAAAGGTTAACCTTTTTGGGCTAGGGTACTCAGCCCCTAAGAAGATGATGCGATTGCAGGGGTGATTGTGTGTTTTTGTGTTGGGCTCACGATTTCGGACTCAGCTTGTGCCTGAAAGCCCGACCAATTTGCACCTTCTGCAGCACTGGTAAGTCTCCAGCACATGCTATGTAACAGCAGTGAAAATGATATTCAACCCCATGAAGAAGAAGCTGATGATGATGATGATGATGATGGCAGTAATGATGATGACGATGGTGGCAAGTAGTTCCCATCATCGTCTTGGCATGAACAATGAGCACCAGAGAAGCATTTGCAAAGACGCAAGTACAGCAAACATACCGACATCGCAGACCAATATACTCGAGAGAGGCTTAAAACACGGAAGGACATCTGTTGTCACAGTATACTACGAGCAGAGGTGGTAAGAAGCCAAGATCCGAACAGAACTTGTGCGAGACGTATGCAAGAACCCCCATTTCTAGAAGATTGAACACGAGGGGTTCCTGATATAAACCCTACACATCAGAAGAGCTTTTTGGGGGATGGCGTTCTGGGCACCCCGGCTCTAAGAACCCCGTTTTGGGTCGGTGGGTGCTAATTAGTATTATCTGTACCGGTAGCATTGGCATCTAGAATCTAGAAGATTTGTCATTACGATGACTATTGCTACTACTGTCACGGTTGTTGTTACCGTTGTAATATTGATAGTTCTATCACTGATATTCTTACGATTCGTATTAGTACTGGTATTAATATTGCTGCTGGCAAAAGACGGCTTCATCAATCTTGTAGCCAGGCGTCCTGTGAGAATATCGTATTTCGTCCTACCAGTTGTATGGATACTGCCAGCTGTTTTGTTAGAGTAATGGTAGCAGTGATACGTGCCTTCGGCCCGGGACATTACCGCCACGATACTGGGCCGTCGCGTCCCACCGCTTCCGCTCCCTGAGCGGCATGTGTTTGTGAAATCTTTAGGCCTGTCTTATCTCTTGGGACGAAATCACGCCGACGAGAGCTTTGTCCGCGTTAGCCCATTTGCCCTCGGCACAATCCCACGCTTCGCAAGGGGATCGTAATAGCCTTGTTTGCTAAAGATTAGAGCTTCAAGCCCTTAAGAAAAGCAGGCGAACCTTCGAATTCTGAAGCCCGGACACTTGTTAGTTTCAGCTCGGCATGCTGCGCATCGCGCTGCTCTCCGGGGAAGATGTGACGAGCATTCCTCTTGCAGAACTGAGTGATGTGAGGGCCTTGAAGCAGCGATTGCATCAGGAGCATGGCCTTCCACCACGCTTTAGGCAACGGCTGCTTCATGAGGGCATGAATTTGGGTGACGCCTTCCAGCTGGACTCGCCTATGGATCTGGTGATTGTGATATTGGCGTTCTCCGACCCCTCCTATAGCCAGCGCAAAGAGCTCGGAGACGCCGCCAGAAAAGGCTTCGGGACCGAGGCCATGTTACACTCGGAGCTTTCAAGCACACAGGGTGTAGGATCCAAACCAAACCTTGCTATATGCCGAAGCTTCATAATGGTTTTGATATGTTTTGATGTTTGGACAACGACCGTGGAGATGCGAAGCATGCTTCATCGGCATCATTCTGGTTCCTATCCTTACCAAATGCACGATTGGCCAAATATGACAGTCGCGAGGGGTAGCATGTGCTGACCTGAACTGCTTCCCAGAATCCTCTTGAAAAATCCAGCTATCCCCTCTGCCTCCGTGCATAGCCACCTGTACATAGTAGGCTTCTCAGGCTGGCATTGTCTCCAAATTTCTGATTGCCTGTGCTGTTGGACCTACGTTGCCTGTACCCTTCAACCGTCAGGTTGAAGCATTGCTGCAGCTGCCGTTGAATCCAGACGAGGACACCAGCTACACCTTCAAGCCTCTGCAGTTGGCAGCGATGCGAGGCCATGTCGAGGTGGCGAGACTTCTACTGGAGGCCGGCGCTGACAAGGACTTCATGGACAGGATGGGTTTCACGGCTTTGATGATGGCAGCAAGATCAGGTCGCACTGAAGTCTTGCGATTCCTTCTGGAGGTAGGTGCTCAGAGAGACTTGCGCAACGACGATGGCTTCACCGCACTGATGCTGGCATGTCAACACGGGCACAGCCACATTGTTCGAGTGTTGCTGGAGGCCGGTGCTGAACAGACTTTGACAAACAGTTTCGGTCGCACAGCGTTGATGCTGGCAAGCGAGTCGGGTAATGCTGAAGTCGTACACGTGCTGTTAGAAGAGGGCGCCGACAAAGATTTCTCCTCACATAACGGCTCGACGGCTTTGATGTGGGCAGCAAAAGCAGGTCAGGCTGAAGTGGTTGAGCTGCTGCTGGCGGCCGATGCTCAGAAAGACTTGAAAAACAAGATGGGTTTCTCCGCAGTCGATTTGGCGGCCGATCACGGCCACCTAGAGATCCTGCAGTCGCTGCTGGACGCTGGTGCTCAAAACACTTTGCTGGAAGACTCTTCTGCTTCTGCAGAGGGATCACGGCCGGCCGTTGGATAGCAGCGACATCGCGAAAATAAGGCCTCAACAGCTGCACGGTAGTTGTCGAGCGGCCTTGTAGAATTCTGAGGCTTTCTGAACATGTGGTCTGCGGGCTGTAAGGCCCTCCGGGTTGCTTGAGTGATATGGACATGGGTTCTCCGGTAACTTTGAGAGTCGCCTGCATCCACATTTAACAATCCCCAGTCTGAGCAAGATGATGTCGTGAATTCGCGCCAGTGTTCGAGGCCACCTAAGACTGAAGTGAGCGCAACTTTGGCGCAAGGGGTTGTCATGACAGTAACGACCACAAGCAGCTATGTTTCATCCGCTTCTGCAGTGGAGACATTGGGTTCACAACGTCCAGCATTTTTATGCCTCGACCTCCACCGCGCTGAGCACGGTCATTTGGATGTGTCTTAGTTCCTGGAAATTGAATTCGCCCCCCATTTCTGATCATGTTTCGGGTTGCGTGGGTTCCTTGTTGTAGTTATAGTCTACATTATAATATACCCCAAAACCCCATTGGGATTATTAAGGCTTATAGCTATGACTTCTTCTTGCTGCGCCATGGTCATGGACTTCAGCATGATCCAGCGGCTTCTGGAAAAATGCTTCTCCTTGAAACGCGGCTGCGGCTCTTCATCTCATGCCTCTGCAGTTGCCTGAGACACACTTGGAGGATCACGGGACTTAGTAAGTAGCGTTATAAGTCCCCTAATATGGGTTATAAGTATAGTTACCTTAGTTATAACCCTACTTACTAAGTCCCATGATCCTCCAAGTACATGTCTGAGGTTCTTTTCGATTTGTAGTGACACATCACGTCACACCTTGCCAAGTGCTTGGCTCGGCGCAGGCTTCCGCCTGTTTTGAGGGTGTAACGCAGTGTACGGTTGCACTTCTAAGTGGCGGCACAGCACTTCAGCTCCGAACTAAAGTATTACAGCTTTATACCTGCTGCAAGGGTGCTCTGATGCAAACCCATAAGTCGCCAGAGCAGCGTTGATTGATTGGATGTGTCAGAAGTTCTACGCTTTCTCCCGTCTTGTAACTGTAACTATCCTCAGCCGTAGTGTACTGCATGATACTAAACTATATACATTGCGATACGATACTCTGTTTATGCTCTGCTATGTACTCTGTATTATGCTCTACTCACTACATCGCCGAAGCTGCAAACCTTTCGATTCCGAGGCTCGAGTCCAAGTGCGCCGAGCGGAGCGTACATCGGCGCTGATGGCTAAGGCAAGGCAGGGTTTGAAGGACTCAGGGCCTTCAGCTGCTTTAGGGCTTTTTGAAGTGCTTTAGGGTTTAGGGATTTCAAGCGCTTTCGGGCTTCGGGCTTTAAGGGTTTAGGCCTTAGGTTTAAGGGTTGACTGTTTAGGGCTTTAAGGGTTTAAAGCTCTAGGTGCCTTTGAAGAGTAACTAGTACCTATAAGGGTTTAGTATAGAGTTTTTTAGGGGTTTTGGAGCTCAGGTTGGGTGTCAGGGCCTTGCTCAAAGGATCATGGGACTTAGTAAGTAGGGTTATAGTTAGGGGATACTATACTTATAACCCCAATTAGGGGGCTTATAACCTTACTTGCTAAGTCCCATGATCCTCCAAGTATGCCTTTGAAGCATGGTCCTTTTCTAGCCCATGACATTCTGGAAGTGAACATGAGATTTCCGACGGCCCCCACCAGCCCATGTCGCCTGCAAAGTTTGGGATTCAGGCTACTTTAGGGGGGCTGCAAAGGCATACTTGGAGGATCATGGGACTTAGTAAGTAAGGTTATAAGCCCCCCAATTGGCGTTATAAGTATGTTTCCCCTAATTATAACCCTACTTACTAGTCTTCCCCCAGTTCATGCGTTAGGGGGGTTGTGTAGGCACAACGACTTCAGAGATCATGCTTCTGCGCCCGATAGTGAAGACTCGTCGCAGTAACCTGCAGGCCATGCTCTGCCGCTCACTCCACATTGTCACAGCGTCATGCTATGTACCGTCTTGGCTTTATTCGGTTTCTTCTCTCTTTCTCTCTCGCTCTCTCTCTCTGTCCTGTAGCGTGTGCTCGTGCGAATTTGTGCATGTTTGTGTGCGCAGGTGACTTGTTTTTGCTTGATTGTGTGAGTGTGCGTGTGCTTCACTGCGTTCTTGACTTCGAAGGCTCTTGTAGATCCCCAAGAGACAGTTCCGAGAACAGGTCGGCGATCCGTCTTGGCTGTCTTGAAGGCGCAGAAGTTTGGCATCTTCCGTTCAGAGCGTGGTGCCCAAATCCTCATGAGCGGACTGCGGTTACGGCCCCGGGCAGTGGGAGACTTGAAGCTCTTGATGAGCTGCTTCCATGAGTTGGCCTACGGTGGCCATTTGCAGAGAGTCTTCTTGCCAGGGACTGGGTTCCAGCTTAGCCTTGGACCTCTGCAGGCGGGAATTCGAAGCTTTTTGACACCCCTCCACTTCCTTCCGGCTTACGAGCCGGGGCCAAAGCATTTGCCCAAGGCGCTTGGACCTAAAACTCTGCACTCTCTCAGGTGTGGGAGATGTTGGTGAGGGTTTAGGCTTGCGTTCTGTGGTGGCGTGCTTCCTGCGCTTGCGGCGACGACGCTGAGCTCTGGCGCAGCAGAAGCACGTAACTTTGCCCAGCATGTAGTCTTTAAGTTCTTGCCGAACCCCAAAATTTCGAGTGTACCGGTGTGCATTCTAGCCACCAAGAAGTAATGTCAACCCCTGCAGACATCGCTGTTCCATTATTTTGGGAGCCGAAGCTCTCCCGGTCGATCTTCTCAGTCGGCATCCCTCACTTTGCAAGACTGCTCTTCCTACAGCCGAGCTGCCGAGCACTGGGTGTGTTTAAGGAGTAGCGCTTCCCCGAAGCCTAAAGCCCCAGGCCCAGCCACATGCGGTGTAAGAGGCCAGTGTGTAGCTTGAACGCGAAGGTTGTCGAGCTACGGAGAGCCACCGACAAAAGCGCGGCTACTTGCGAGCCTTGGGCACGGCTTTCATGCTGGACGCGTCTACCCGATAGAACCGGCAGTGTGCACCATGTTGTCCTGCTTAGGCTTTGGGCTTCGGCAAGGAAGCAATGCCATCCGAATTCAAGGTCCATGAAAACCTTTTCGGGATGTCGGTATTCCTGATAGGCCACAACTCTCGATGGATGCTGTGCTGCTTCTCCCCGCTAGTGTTGGTCCCCTTGACAAGTGCGAGCTTCGCCCTCTATCCCCTTGACTATGGTTCTGCCGTTCTGCACGCGTCCTGAGACCCCAAGTCTCTGGCTCCATCCGGGACAGGCGCAAGGCGCAAAAATTGATTCGGTCGTGACGAGGCCTAGGCCTGCAGCTTGGAGCTTGGACGTGTTGGGAGGTGTGGGCCTCCTTGGCTTCCCTGAGCCCAGAGGGCCCAGAGTGGCGCTGGTGCCTTGAGCTTCAACGCGCTCTTCCATGCCCTCTACTGGAAAGACAAGCGTGGCCCTCTAGCAGAGGTAATTCAGGAGCTGGTCAGTTGCATGTCTGCATCATGACAGAAGCTTCGAGCCAAGCGTTGATTCGAGGCGGAGTGGAGGCTTCGGGCAGGTGCTGTAGCTGTGCTCTCGTTCAAAAGCCGACCGACAGCCGTGGAGCATCCCTCAATCATTCGTCCGGCTTCCTCGCCACGGTCGCCAAGGCAACTTGCTCTTAGCCTTCAGCTGCCTGGTCTGGGTAACGTGGACAGCGTTTTTGAGGGTATCCAAGAAGCCCTGCAGAGTTTATGCTTGTCTTCCAAGTTGGGCAGGCGGTAGCGGCAAGCAAGCCCCACGATCTGTCTGCATCTCCCAGGACTCCCAGTAGTGCATGTTCCAGCTCCAGCATTTCTTCTCGGGCGGGACTCGCCTGGAGACACCGACTTGTCAGTCTCTCAAGGCTTTGACTTGGCCGGGCCCCCAACGCTTGAAGGAACCCGGCAGGGCTTTGAGCTTATAGGGTTTAGGGTGGTTTTCTCAAAAGCGCCTCCTACAATCATTTGAGTGGCAGCCTTTCCGCATGAAAGGCTGCATGCGAGCGTTTTGTGGGGCCTGGGACGAAACTGGATGGGAAGTTAGAACGTCCAAGGCAGTGCGGGCATGGGGCATCGGTCGCACCTCCAAGCCGAAGCTTGACCCTAAAGAGGAAGTCATCCGCACTCGCTAGACACCAATGGCTGAGACACCAATCTGCGACGGAAGTTTTGATGTTTCTCCGTGGTTCGTCGGATTGAAGCGCTGGCCCTTGAACTTGGACCTTGCTCTGTTAACCCTGAACCCTAAACCCTAAACCGTTACTGTCAGAAAGCGAGTATGGCCAAGCTATCAACTCGCGTGCCTGATCTTTCGAAAGCGTTTCATTGCCCCCTGTCGATGAGCGCCTCCGGGGAAATCTTCGGACCGATCGGGTTTCGATCTCTCTTCAAAAGGAGCCTTCAGTTTTCGGGCTTTCAATTCAGAGATGAGCAGCGCTCCCTCGGCGTTTTAGAGACAGGCTAAAGGAAAGGAGGCTCTGGACCCATTTTCCTAAACCCAAGCTGCTCGACCGTGTGCCATGCTTCGGCAGTCGAGTTGCTTTGTGCCACATGCTCCCTTCCGTCTCGAGCCTATGCTCATTGGTTCATTGCTTGCGGCCAAACACGCTCAAGTCGTGTCCTCGTCAATCTTGGTGCGGCCTGGCTGAGCCAGCCGCCGAGGCGTGTGCCTAGCGCGCCAGCACGTGCCATGCGCCAAGCTCAACCTGGACCTAATCTGCCCGTCGCATCTCGGAAAAGTACTGAGCGGATACCTGTCACCGACAGTTTGAGCTCCAACTGTCTCCAGGCCAAGGGTGACTTCGATCGTGCCAGATTGGAAGCACTCTGGAGTCTTCTCCCGGAGAGGAAGGGGAGGGGACCTCAGTGCAGTATCGACGTGCTCCGCTCACCGATCGGCCAGAGGCTCATCAACACCCTTTGCCTGCAGCTTCCTGTATGCCCTCGCAGAAGAGGTGAGCAACAGCAAGGCGCCAGAACAGCACATGGAGGGCGACATTTGAAACGCCAACTTCCAAAAGGCTCCCTGCGTGCACATGCCATGTTCGGCCCATGTCGTGGCACAGCTCCTGCAGTTTCGATACCATGGTCTCGGCCTCAGATGGCTTCAGGTAGCAAAAGCAAAGTTACATTTACCTTGAGAACAAGATCCAGCTTTCGCTTGACTCGGCCGAAGTCGCTTTGTCGTCTGACTTGCTGCTGTCAGAGCGCGGCGATTGCCAGGAAAGGACCTCCAGCTTGAGAGCGCTCATTGTCCAGCGTTGAACACTGGTGCGCTTGCCCGAAATATAAGCCATCTTTCGAGCCGGAAAGAGTAGCAACGCTGCAGGCCTCTCTCATGATGTTCGCTGTGTTCCTCGAATGCGGGAAATTTTGAACGCAGTGGCTGACACCTGCGAGCGTCACTTGCCCGTGGCAGTTGCAAAAAGCGGACAGCATTTCCTTCCTCTCACGACGTCGCTGCGACAGTGATCCTGCTAAGACACACTCCCAACAACTCCCGATGCAGCTTTTTGGTGGACACGTCCCGCGAAAGCGTGTTGTGCCGCTTATCGCTTTGCGGACCATGCCACAGCCGACACCTGTGAAGCTGGCCAGGTGCGACACTCATGACTCCAGCTGCTTTTCATGCATAGCAAAATGGCGTGTGCAGACAGAGTCTGATAAGTTCTTGCCAGCATGGCTTTTTGAGCATTTAGGTTTCCAGGCGGAGGCGTAGGCAGATTAACAGGATGTCCTTGTACCATCTAAACCCTAAACCCTAAACCCACGATTCAGCTCAAGTCCTCTAAAGGCCTGCTTGGGACCTCAAGCCCTCCCTGCAGCCGCTAATCCCTTCTTGCGAGTCACAAAAAAAAGCGGCGAGGTGATTTTGTGCTTAAAAGGGACCTAGACTTCATCTGTGCCGATGATGCCAGCATCATATTTCAAGCAATAGGAACTTATCGCCACAAAGCATAAAAGGAAGGGGGGAGCAGAGTCACGGCCTGGGCCTGGGCTTGCATCTTGTCAAAAACCCGGCATGCCCTGAAACTCAAAGCTCAGAAGGGCCAGCGAAGGCTCAGTGGAATTTCTCTGCAGACACCGCACTCATCGCTGCTCAGTCATGCTCACAGGGCTGTGGTCCGAGGTCTAAGGGCTTGGGTTCGATGTTTCTTTCTGGTGCTAGGCTATGGGTCTGGGCGTCAAGTTCATGGCACAGCGCTTCAGGACTCTGTGCAAAATGACGCTGGGTGAGGCAGCTCCCCGACTCTTACAGCCTTGCTGTTCGTTGAGTGCCTCGGTCTCCTTCCCTCTTCGGCACAGCCCTGAGGACCCGAGCTTTCTCGCCGATCAACCCCTGGTGAAGGGGAGCCGCGTTCACTGAAACCGGCCGCCTGCCGGGCTGCCTGCGGCTGCCGCTTCTGAGGCTCAGACCGCCAGAGCCTGGGAGCTTCGAAGTCCCTGAAAACTGGTGCCTGGATTCACAGATCCTAGAAGCCCAACATCTACCTGTGCCTTGCAGGCAGTGTTAAAGGCGCTCTAGCCCAAAGCGACAGTGTGCCCAGTCGCAAGAAGCAGCGGGCCTGCACAATGAAGATGGCATTCGAAGGAGGACCTTCTGAACCTGTCCTGGACTTCGAGCGCCTCCGCGCCAGGCATTGAATCGAGCTGCTTTGCCTTGCTATCTGAAGCCTGCCACACTTCTCTGTAGGAGCCGACAGATTAGTACCCCAAAAG